TTCCTGCAGGCGCAGCCACTCTGGAGATGTCCACGTAGCACAGTTGAGTCAGGCAGGTACGAGAGCACTGGAAGGAGCACCGCTGAGTGCCTGCTGTCTACCTCCGTCAGGACTCAGCTCGTTTCCTCCATGGAGCGGCTTTGACTTAGAATTTCTCGACTTCACGGTGGCGCCAAAGCCATGTGCATTCAGTGGAGGCAACGTCACATGCCCACGTGCTCCTCCAGTATTCAGCGGGTTGCCTGGGGAATGTATGCCCTGTCGTAAGACAGGCTCGGGTCCGGGTCCTGCCTGCAGGCTTAGGTTGTGGGTGCTTGCGGTGCAGGAGGGCTGAGAAGCCCGAGGCTCTGGGCAGTGATCATGCGTGTTTCCAACACGACGTGTCCACACGTGGCAGTTTGCCAGGACACGGCCCATGCTGTGTCAAGCACCCATGCTGGTTGCTGGTGCTGGTCTGCTCCTGACCAGTGGCCGCACAGAGGGACTTCAGTGACGGGCCCAGGCAGTCCCAGGACTTCCAGGAGAGGGCAGGCTCCGAGGGCCGGTGGACACCGTGTGTGAGAAATTGTCCAGCCACTCTTGGTATGCACATGCCTGCATGTCTGTGGAACCAGGGAGTTCTCGGTCTCACCCCCCACAGGGCATCCCTAGTGGCCCTCAGGCAGGAAGCTGAGTTGGACCCGGGTGCCCCGCAGGTCGGCCCCACTGCCCTGTCCCACGAGGCACATGCGTGTGCTGAGCAGAACAGCCCTCGTAAGTCGGTCACTCACTCTGGGAGGCTTATCTTTTTTTTTTTACTGCTTCACTTTGCACTTCTGACTTGTGGCCTCTGAGCATGGGTGACCTGTGGTGAGCGACCTGGCCCGCATCGCTCGCTGGGCACTTACGTGTGGGCGTATTTCCACGTGAGGGGAAGGGCCACCGAGGGGAACGTTTTTCCTTCTCGTGCGTGACAGGAGCTGGGGCTTAGAGGTGACTGGGAAGTGCCTCGTCAGCTGTGGTCACTTATCCTGCTAAGAGGGAGCCAGCTCCAGCTAAAAATAACCGGGACAGCCTGACTCTACACAGGCGGCTGAGCCAAGAGCTGCCACGGAAACCACGTGTTCATGCGTTCGTTTATCACCGAGCTTTGTGGTTTGTAGCAAGTTGAGTGGCTTCACGTTTATGGAGAAGCCGTGTTTCTGACTTAGACAGGTTCGTGCTGCAGGATCCCAGGAGAGGTGACGTCGTATGCACTCTGCGTGGTGGGGTGTGTCCCCAGCTGGGAACATTGGGTACTGATGATGGTGGTCTCTGGCGAGGTGTCCAGGACACGCCAGTGTTGCTCTCTTGCCGGGGCTAGGGGAGGGCCTCGGCCGTGCCCTGGCATGGCTGCTGCGTCGGCGCCCACCGTTGTGTCCTTCTGGGCCGATGGACGCCCCTTGGGGTGGCCTGATCCCAGGATGTGGACCCCACGGGGCAGAGGGGCACTTGCTCTCTGCTCCCAGACAGTGTCGCCCACCCCTTCTCGCCCCGAGGCTGAGGTCACGCCAGGCGGCGCGTGGTGCCAAGTGCCTGTTACCTGCTGAGCTGCAGGGGAAGCCGCGGTCACCCTGCGCCTTCCTCTGCCGCAAGGGCTCTTGTTTTCTGGTCTCTCTTTAGTATCGTGCAAGGGTGCAGGTGTGACCTTGCCCATGTCATTGAAGGGAAATAACAGAGGTGGAGAGGCACAGAGGCATGGAGTCCCCCTCGTGGCGTCCCCGCATGGAGTCTCCTGCACAGAGCCCCTCAGTGGACTCCCCGGTGCCAAACTGCCACTGACTTGCCATCACAGCGGCTCGTGTGTCTGGTTGTGGTTTGCCACTGGAGCTGTTCCCCGTGCCTCGGGTGCCTCACGGTCCAGTCTCCTGTCGTGCGTGTCTCACTGGGAGACGCCCAGGGTTGCCGAGGGGACAACAGGGCCGCCTGCGGAGCAGACGGGGGCGCTTTCCCTGCCGTCCCGTGTGGCTCTGCATCCCTGTGTGGTCGTGAGCTCGGCCGTGCTGGAGGCAGGGCACATGCCCGGGGGCGGCCGTGTGGAGAGGCTGACGTCTGCGTCCTCTCTTGCCGCAGGTGATCAGCACACCCCAGAGACCCGCGGCGTCGAGCACACTCGTGGTGGGAAGCCCGCACACGCCCAGCACGCACTTCGCCTCCCAGAACCAGCCCTCTGACGCCTCGCCCTGGTCTGCCGGGTGAGCACGCCCCCGTGTCCTCCTCAGCATCATCACCCTGCAGGGCCCCACGGGTCGCACAGTCGTGGGGTGGGCTCCCGCACGTGGGCTTCAGAGCCCGGTGTCGCCGTGCGCAGCAAGGACGCGGTCTGGCACAGTGTCCCTGGCACGGGGTGTGGCTGTGGGCTGCCCCTCAGTGTCTGGTGCGGCCGCTCTGGCTGGGAGGGAGGAGGGCGGTCATGTGCCCCCGTGGTGACCTCCTCCTGTCTGCCTGCGTGTGGGTGGCGTGGGGTGGCCCCCCATCCCAAAGCATGGGGCTTCGGCCCCATTGGACATCCCCCCAGAGCTGCTGCTGTCGTGGAAGCAAGGTCTGAGGGGAAAGATTTTGCTCGCAGGCCGGCTCGGCCTCCTTCCTTAGACACGAACGCTCAGAGCCATAAAGCTGCATTTGTGCTGGGGACCAGGACTCTGCTGGCGAGCTTTGCTTGGCCGTGTCCTTGAGGCGGCGCCTTCGCCCCAGCCCGGGCTGCCCTCCGTTGTAAGGAAGGCCCCGGTGGCCGCGGCCAACTGGGCGTCCGCCCTGTGGAGTTGCCGCCTGCTGGGATGGGCCCTCAACCCCACGTTTGCGCAGCGCCCCTGCTCCCGAGGCCCGCTGCCCTCGCTGGACAAGCGGTGCTGTGGGTGCGGGCCCCGTGGTGCTGTCGCCCGTCCTCCCGGCGTCTGGGCCCGCAGATGCGTGCTCCTCATCTGACCCGTGTGTCGGCCCGTGCCGGTGTCCTGGCACGCCGTCTCTGGGTGGC